GCCTGGCACTTTGAACTTGGACTTAAAGCCTCCAAACTGTAAGAGAATAAACTCCTGTTTGTTAAGGCCATTCCATTTGTGGTATATTCTTGTCAGAGCAGCACTAGGTAACCAAAACAGTATCTATAGTCTATAGTTCTTTCTCCAGAAAAATTATTTTTTTCTATTCCAAGTCTAACTATTCCACAAATAAACTCTTTCATTTTAAGGCAACCCATTGATTAAGATTTTTCTCATATAACTGTTAGATTCTTTCTTGTTCAGATTTCTTTGAAAAATTCTCTACATTTTCATTTTTACTCTTTCATGTTCCAGTCTTTGCTCAGACCACAGCAGTGTGGGTTTTGCTCCTACCCTCCACAGAAATTTTGCAAAGGCCTTCGGTGACCTCACTGTTGCAAGTCCAAGGAGCTCCCCTTTTCTTTTACTATGTATTGAGTTTGTTTCTCTTTTATTACTGTTTTTGTTATGTCCTTTTTTAATAAACCATCTCTAAACCTTTTGGAAAGAGGTTGATTGAATATAAATTATAAGTTAAAAATCTGCTTTGTTTTTCTTCGTGAGATTTTGACATTGTTTAGTCCGCAGGCCATAACTGTTCTGTTTGCTACCCAAACTTTCTGACTGCTGTGGCTTAGCCTCCTCTTTCTCCTTTGGTTCCTATTATACCTGCCTTTTTACTTCTTAAGGCATGGTATTTAAAAAGAAGACATTTCTCAATTTATTCATCAAGATGATAAAATTATCAAAAGTTTGCCACATTTGTTTCATCCTCTCCTTTTTTTCTTTGCTGGAATATTTTAAATTATATCCCAGACATCATATCATTTCTCCCAATGAATGGATAAGTCTGTTCTTTTAATTACTGGTATTCCATAGACTCTGTCCCTTACCATTTCTCATTGTACATGTTCTTTGGGAATTTTATTAACTCCTGTGGGTTCACATGCTTTCTGTTTATGACTTTAAAATTCATATTGTCTATCTAGACCTTTCACATATACTATAGCCCAAAATTTATATTTTCCTAATAGGCTTCTCTAGTCTGATATTCTGTGGTGACCCAAATTTTCACATGTTTAAAATAATAATAATTCTTTCTCACCTGTTTTTCTCTTTATTTTTAAATTTCTCTATCATTTGAAATATCAGAGGCTTCCTTGCCTTCACCATTTTCTTCATATCCCATGGTAGTCTCCAAGTCCTATCAGTCCCTCCTTTTGGTACCATTCTTTCACATCTGTGCTTTCCTTCTGTTCCTCTGAAGCCCTTATGGTTTAGGGGCTTCATCATCTTTCACCTAATACTTTCCCAGCTCTTTCTGTTTGGTGTATTTTTCCTCTAATATAATCATATATCTTTCTGCACAAAATCTCTCGGATCTATTGATTTCATGGTATAAACATAAAACTTTAAGAATTGATCCTATCCTCAAGGCGGGCAACTTCCAAGTCATTTTTTTTTTTAAGCTCTGCCCTGATCCCTGGCAATTGGAACCTCAATAAATGAATGAGAATTATATATTATTATATAATGTTATATTATTATATTAATATTAATACCTATATTAATAGTGTGCTTGAATCTGCCTGCATCCTTGAAAATGTTGATTGCTGTTCTTTTACTGTTTAACTTTGATATTGGTAAGTCAACTGAGTAATTGGGATCATTAAAAATCCCTTTTACTAAAACATTGAAATTTTTTTTTTTACAGTAATTACTGTTCCTAAGAAGCTTTGTTGTTTTATCCTCCTAATAGTGAAGTGGCTGCTCATTGATAGGGCCTGGCAAAACTTATGTGATATGTTACTGTTATTGTGTGTATGTCAGGTTTTCTAGCAGTATAATAATTACTATGGTATCAACACCATCATTTTTATTATATTAATTTAGATTGAAAGAAATGTGATCTTATGTAATTTTAGTACATTGATTTGTGACAGTATTATCTTCTTATGTTGTTGTTGTGTGTTGTTGAGTCCATTCTGACTCATAGCAACCTTATGGGACAGAGTAGACTGCCTCATAGGGTTTCCTAAACTGTAGTTTTTACAGGAACAGATTGCCATGTCTTTTTTCCTGCAGGGCAGCTGGTGAATTTCAAACACCAACCATTCTTCAGTTGAGTGCTTAACCATTGTGCCACCAGGGCTCCTCTTCTTGTAGCATGTAATTAAGTCTGACACTAATCATCTTAATATTGAAAATATTTAACTTTTTTTTTAGGACCAGTTTGGACAACATATAAAATCAGACGTGCACTTGAATTTTTATGTTTATTATGGTCCTGATCGTATTAGAGACCCCACTTTGCTTTCAAAACAGGATATTGTTTTGACCACATACAATATTTTAACTCATGATTATGGGGTAAGTATACTGTGCTCAGAGATTTCAATGATTGATTTTAAAAATATGTTACAGATCTAAAGTGTTCTTAAACTCAGACTTTAGACTATGTTTTCTTTTTCCCTCTTTTTAGATGGTTAGGAATCTATAGAAAATTAATAGGAAAGATTGAACATTTTATAAAAATACTACTTTAAATTCTCACAACTAAGTATAGTTAGCAATTTGTAAATGAATTCTATGATGTTTTTCAGTATTCTGAGAAATTGTTTTCTCTTACAGTGATTTAATTAAATGGTATCTTTGTGGAAATCAACTTTTGTTTAGCTTTAATTTATAAGTTTCCAAGTTCTTCTAGGACTTTAATTATTCTTCACCTAAAATTCTAGTTAAGTTAAAATAGTTTTCAAAATACTTTATTGCTAATTCAGTCTTCTGGTAAGGACATTACCTTTTATATAAAAGAAAGTCATGTTCTTATATTAAAATAATTTCTATAACTGAAAATTTTTACATCATCACTATGTGTTAACATTGAGATGTTTCAACAAACTGATACAGTGCTGGAAGTGCTTACTCATTTATGCAAAGAAATTTGGAAGACAA